GGGAGAGGAGGGGGGGGAAGGAGAGGGAGAAGAGGGAGTGGAAGAAGGAGAGGGAGAAGAGGAAGGAGAGGGAGAAGAGGGAGTGGAGGAAGAAGAGGGAGAGGAGGAAGAGAAGGAAGAGGGAGGGGAGGAAGAAGAAGGGGGAGAGGGAGAAGAAAAAGGGGAAGAGGGAGAGGAGGAACAAGAAGAGGGAGAGGGGGAAGAAGGAGAAGAGGAGGAAGGGGATGTAGGAGAGGAGGAAGAAGAGGATGAGGGAGAGGAGGAAGAAGGAGAGGAAGAGGAAAAAGCAAAAGGTAAAAGAAAAAATGATAGTAATAAGCTTCCACAAAAGAAAAGCAAAACCAGGAAGCCGGGAAAGACAGAAAGTACTGCTTTACCAAACAGCTCTAAACAAAATCTGAAGTCCAAACAGCATGTAGCAAATGGTTTACATAATTCAGAACAATTTTGGAACAACGTGCTACCTCATTATTTAACACTAAAGTAGCATAGACTACTGGAAATGCATTTTAAGCCTATTCAAGAAACGTTGGAACTATGGCAGATTGATTTTTATTACTTAAAAAAAATTAATGTAGTCAAAATATATTATTATGCATATACTTTAAGTGCCAATTTCTTGAAAAGGACTGAAGAAGATGTTTAGATTTGGGAAGCTCTTATGAGAGAAATCATATAAATTGTTGATACAGTCATTTACACAATCATCTTTATCATGTATGACACAGCTTTAAAAAAATAATTGCTGAGGAGGCAAAAAGTGTTTGCCTCTTAATTAAATTATAATGTCATGCTGACAACATGAATTATACATTGTAGTACTGTAATCTTCTTTGCCTTTGAATCAGATTTCTTAAGGTAATGCTCAGTTTTAGTTGCAGGATAGCTGACTTGTTAATGTGCCTTATATGAAAGGAGTGTCAGTAAATCATCAAAGATACATATTTTTAAATTTTGGTATCACTCCGTATTCATTCCCCCTACTTTCCTTCTGTTCATATATTGGTTAAATGCTTGAGTAATCGGCATAAATTAAAGAAAGGACAAGTTGCCAAATTTACATGGGTCGGTAGATGGGAGGTAAATGGCAATACGTGCCTGGGTAAATGGTGGCCTGGGCTTTTTTGAAGGCCTTAAGGTTGACTTCTTATTTTGGTGTCAGCACACAATTATGTGCAAAAAGACAAATACAAGTCTCAGAATCTGGTCTAGATTACATTAGAGTCAGAATGCATCTGTTTAGGGATAATTTTTGACTATCACATTTGGTGATTAGACATAGTTAAGAATTTGAAAATACATACCTGTAAAACATTATTTACTTGTGTATACTGTGCAGTGAACAAAAGAGTCAGTATCTGCCTACAAAAGACTAAATTACATTAGTCATCTAACTCTAAGGTTCTCAAGGAGGGGAATATACTTTGCTGCAGTATGAAGTGTAAATATGTTTTCAGGATCAGAGCCTAAGCTTCTCCTCGTTGGAGGAGATTTGTGTTTTTCCCTCCTAAAAATCACATCTGTGATCTCCAAAAAGAGGATGATGTAGTAAACCAAGAAGCCAGATGGAATAGTACAGAAAATGGCATGAAAGTCTGAATTCTTTTTGGAAAAGACAAAATATATTAATACTTCTGGAGTTTCCTTAAAATACACGAACAAATCTTGCAAATTATTTTTGTGACTTGGTAAGATATTGCATTACTGTTTCAACTGTTAGTGGTTGAACTGGCAAAAGAAGGGATAGGGACTCGCCATACAGCATTACCCAAATACTGTGGGTGGTCTGAGAAATTTTTGTAAACTGATCTCAGTGTTGACATTCTCTAGAAAAATAGCTATTTAAATCCTATTTGAAAATGAGGACAGGATAACAAAGGCATCAAAATGAATAAATGTTGTTCAATAAAAATGTTAATAGAATCAATACTTATGTTGAGATTATGAAACATTTTTAATGTTGTTTTGTAAAATACTGGCATTAAACTATCTTTGACACAGTGTCTCCAGAATTTATTTTCTAAAAAGGTTGTGGTAGATTGTTTGCCAGTAGATTCTAGTCCCGTTTGATCCTTCTTACCTCAGTCACCCCTTCCATATACCGCATTTGAAGGTAAGATCGCTTTCAGCCATGTACCGTATGCCCTAACTATAACAAAAAGTAGTCCAGTGACTGTATTTTGTCCCTGTGAAATTTGTTTCAAGCTTTGGGATTTTCTGGAATACATTGTCTTGACATCAGCATGTGTAAGTCTTTGGAAAAGGGTAAGTATCCTCATATTTTGATGGAGTGGAATATTTTAACAGCTAAGTGCACTTCCCAAGAAAACAGCTCTCTCTAACAACGGAGTCCTCAGTTTTTTAGCAGAAGTGTCGTGTTATCACTGAACTGCTGTGAAAATACTTGCTTTCGAAACTAAATGGGGCTAAGCTGTGTTATTTTATCTTTCTTAGGAAAGATTAGGATGTTACTGTGATTAAGTAACGTGAGTAATATTGAAAAGTATTTTTATAGGCCTAAAACCGTGTTTCTTGGATATGACATCTACTTATTTGTGATTCTAAAATTCAGCTTTGGAAGAAAACTGTGCTGTGAAAAAAAATCTGTTATTTCTTATGAAAAATGTTTGCTGGGGGGGGGGGGGGGGGGAAGTGAGAGCACTTTGAAGCCAGTGATTTCCACTTCCACATAGGAATGGCTCTTCATTTACTGTTTGGCTGTAGCTTTTAATCTAAATCCTTAGGCAAATAGGGACCATTTGTTGTTCCTCTCTTAACACGCGCTGATGGCATAAGGCTTCCCAGGAGAGTAAAGGAAGCCAAGTTATGGGCATCTCCTCTTCTTTGTTTTGTCTGGATAAAAATTCATTGAATTGAGAACTGATTTTATATTGTTTTGTGGATCATTCCTGTGGTAGGGGAAAAGCAGAGCATTACTCCAGCACTTCTAAGGGTTTTCCACAGAATTGTTACATAAATTGTACACTGTGCCAATGTTTCTCGGCTTTGGGGGGACTTTGGAACTCCATTAGCATAAGGAGTGGAATTTTATTTAGTTTGACTCGTACTGGTTTATAAAGTTTGGTACTTGTGGTTTTGTGGAAATTAAGTGTGTCCTTGGTATTTATTATGGGATATAAAAAGATTTATGTGCAGTACTTAAGCAACATGGCAGTACTCCTGAACTAGTTTTTAGTAGAGAAAAAAAATCCTTCAACAGAGAAACAACAGACAAACTGCTCAGACCAAAGGTCTATCTAGTCCAATATCTTTTTTCTACCAGTGGCTACTGGTGAATGCCTGGCAAAAAAATCAAGAATAGGGCAAACATGTAGTGCTACTTCTCCTGTGTAATCATTCAGTATACCAAATATATTCAGTATATTCAATAATTTGTAGTTCAGAAGACGTATCTATTGTATATAATAGCCATTTTTTTCCCATTAATTTCTTTCAATCGGTTTTTAACCTGTTTAGCATCCAGTACATGTTTTGGCAAACAATTCTTAGATCACTTTACACATTGTTTGAAGAAGTAACTCCTTTTTCTGTCTTGAATCTATCTTTTGGTACCTTCATTTGATGTCTCTGTATTCTTGTATTAGAAAAAAAGAGCACGTATTCCCTCTTCATGATTTATTCCCTCATGATTGTCACATGGAAAAACTGTTCAGCTATGTGGTTTAAAACAAATCAAGTTCGAGGTGGTTTATTGATTTATTAATAACAGTTAACAAGCAATCAACCAACATTCAAGATCAAGAGCACCAATACAGCAGGGAACGACACCACTAGACATCCATAAAATGTTAGTAAGCACCTGCACATTTCTAAGCACCCGCTAATCTCAGAAGTTTTAATCCCCCTGCACACCTCACATACATGTTCACAGAATTACATATGCACATCCTGCCTTTTATAGCAGGCATGAATTACACATACCCCATTTTCGGGGGGCGGGGTGCAAGTCTGCTTTTGGCACACACCTCCTGTTAGAGATGAGGGTGCTCTAGATTACTTTTGAGTATGCTGTAGCACAACTCTTCTTTTATGTCTGCAAAATTTCAGCAGTTAAGTTATGCCATTATACCTGAAAATATCAAACTATTTATTCAGATAATAGTTCTCTCTGCATAATTGATGCTGAATAACAAAAATGTCTCCCTCCAAACTACAGAAAATGTCTGGTTTTCATTTACTGTTTTTTGTCCCTGTGTCTTATCTGGATAGGTACATGGTTATTCTTTAGAATGGGGCCTTTAGGAATCATACAGAAAAGGGCATTTGGGTTTTGTTTCCATTGCTTTTAGGTTTTTTTCCCTAGCTTTTCTTAGCCTTAGCCATCTTTTAAGATAAATTTTACCTTACTTTCTCCAAAGATGACAATACCTTCTAAATCTTACCTCTCAGAATAGCAAACAGTCTTTTATTTTTATTAATTGAAGTTGTGGTATGAATCTATTTGACAAAAGTGTTGTTAAATACTCTAAAACAAATGGGACTGATTAAAAGCAGAGCTTCTTTTTAAATGCAAACTGAGTTGTTTCTTAGTGCATATAGGCTGAATTTATGAACTGTGTACTCACCTGAACTTCCCGTGTATTGTCTTTAATTTTAAAATTAGTATTACGGGAAGCAGAATCAAGTTCAGAAATAACAGGATCTTCAGACAAAAGAATGTTGTCAGATCTGTAAAAAGGCAAAAAAAGGGCAACGTAAATGTAAAAGGGCAAATTCTCAACTCATTTCTAAATGTGCAATTCAAGTAAATGACAGTGTTTAATACTGTGGCATTCTATGAGCAACTGAGCAAATATTTTGCTTGCACAAATGGCAAACCTATAGTTTTGTCTTCAGTTTAAGTTCTGAGCATGTTCGTGATCTGAAGTCACTCACTGAGTTGTAATATTTTTATATACTTTTTCATGTATTTTAATGGAGAGAGGAGAGATTTGCTTTTGCATATTGAAAGGATTTTGGAGAGATAGCTTTGGCGTCAGAAAATTGCACTGCTGAGAGCTACAGAAGCTTTATTTTTCTACTGCAAAAAGAAGCAGCAAGTACACTTAATCACTGTCTTTTTTAAGGATTTGTGATAGTGCCCATTGATTCTTTGCTTGGCAACCTCATGCTAGAATAATTCAAACAAATGTTAATACTGTTATCTCAAAAACCCATACTTAGTTATGAAAATATTTATTATCAGGGCCCTGAAATGTCAAGTGTAAAGATATTTACCATTCTGACTTTCATAAATGTCTCAGCATTGAAAAATCAGACGTGACTCTCTGCTCTTTCTGTCTGAGGTGGGTTGCAGGGCAGTCTGGGGGAATGTCCCAGGTTCAGCATTACGGGTTTAGAGCTTTATCATTTCTCATGTGTACCCCACCTTTCACACAGAGTTGCATTTGTGGTTTGTGTGAAATGTAAATTATTTGTGGTTTCATATTGAGAATGTGAGAGCGCGCTAAACAAAAGTAGCTCTGAGCAGGATTTTATATTAAACAAAGCCTTTATCTGCACCTATACCTGTAAGGATGTAGATCACCGCAGTATT